CTCATCTCAAGGGGCCCCGGGACACGCAAATGAACACACACGAATAACAGGATTCCCCATATTTTCCCACACGTTCTGGGCGTTTGTCTCCCCCCCCCCCTTCCCACCTTTTCTCGGGAATCGAGGCCTCATGGTGTCTCTGTGCTCCTGTTCCCTCCTGGTCCTCCTCTGCCTGCTCCCCCTCGTGCTCCTCGCCCCGCCCCCCTCCCCCCCCCTCCCCCCGCCCCTCGCCGTCGCCCGGGCGCCCGCTCACCGTGGCGCGCCTTCGCTTCCGCGCGCGCCCTCTTCGCGAGAGGGTCCGAGACTGGAATCAAGTCGGGCCTGTCCCCCTGCCGGGGGATTTCGGAGGTTTGAAAAAAATATATATATATATATATATATATATATATATATATATATTCAAAAAAAACAAAAAAAAAAAAAAAAAAAAAAAAAAAAAAAAAAAAAAAAAAAAAAAAAAAAAAAAAAAAAAAAAAAAAAAAAAAAAAAAAAAAAAAAAAAAAAACGTACCCCAAAAATAATCAAAGAATGGTCCAAAAATAGTCTGGGGACTATGTTTTGGGGTATTTGTTGACCTTTCGGGGGGCATGTTTGGGGTATGTTTTTCATTGTTCGTCGAAAATCCCCCTGTAGGGGGACACGCCCGACTTAAGATTAGAAGGCGGAACACCCACCCCCACGAGGATCACCCCGACACGCGAGGCTGTTTCGCAAACGCACCCACAGGAGGAATCGGAAAGGGCAGGGCCGTTCAGTAGACGCCCAGGGCCGTTCCGAAAGCGCCGATAGTCGGGTCCGGGTGGTTTCTCCTCCCTTGAAAGATGCTCCTCGAGGGTGCTCGCCGAGAGAGAAAAAAACAACAAAAAAAACAAAAAGCAAAAAAAAAAAAACGCCCGAGCGATGCCTCGAGCCTCGCGCCTCGCCTCCTCGGCGGGCGCGCCTGCTCCCGGCGCACCTCCACGGCCTGCACGCCGACCCGCAGCGGCCCGCCGCCGCCGCCCGCCAGCGGGCCTCGCTGCCGCTCGAGCTCCTGCGCCACGCGGTCGGCGATGTGCCCCACCTGCGCGGCCCGGGCAGCCTCGACTTGGACGACGACGACGACGACGGCGGCGGCGGCGACGACGAGGACGACAACGACGACGACGGCGACGGCGACGACGAGGGTTTTGACGACGACAACGACGACGGCGACGGCGGCGACGGCGGCGAGGGCGACGAGGACGACAACGGCGACGACGGCGACGGCGACGACAAGGACTTTGACGACGACAACGACGACGGCGACAACGACGACGACGACGACGACGACGACGACGACGACGACGACGACGACGACGACGACGGCGACAACGACGACGACGACGACGACGACGCCGCCGCCGCCGCCGCCGCCGCGGTAAGCTCCGACGACGCCGATGGCGCAGGCGCCGCCAACGCCGACGACGACGCAGACGCCGGCGATGAGGCCCACCTGCGCGGCCAGGGCGCCGCCCTCGACTGACTGCCTACCAAACCGCCCCAACCCAACCCGAAGACCCGAATTTCGGATTGGGGGTGGTACGGGCTCCATACATGTTTTTGTCAATGTTCCCCGACCCACCCCCACCGGAAATGGAGGGCAAGTTGAGGCCTGCGGGTTGGGTTGGGGTGGCTTAGTCAGTGGTGATCGACTTCGACGACGGCGACGACGGCGACGACGACGACAATGCCGCTGCCGACGACGACGCCGCCGCCGCCGCGGTCAACTCCGACGACGCAGACGGCGCCGACGCCGACGACCCCGACGACGACGCAGGCGCCGACGCGCTGTCCCGAGCCCGGCTTGATAGTGGCGGCATCTTCGTCAACTTCGCGCGCGCGCGAACTAATCTTTCAAACGATTTGGAGGCTCCGAACAGCGCTTCGAGAGCGCACACAGTCACAACTACACAGCGCGCGATGACCGCCGTGTGGATCTTGCCGATGCCCTCCGCCCTCTCCTCGTCCTTCCCTCGATCCTGCCCTCCTCCACCTCCTCCTCCTCCTCCTCCTCCTCCTCCTCCTCCTCCTCCTCCTCCTCCTCCTCCTCCTCCTCCCAATCCTCCTCATCTTCCTAATCCTCCTCCTCCTCCTCCTCCTCCTCCTCTTTCCTCTCTTCCTCCTCTCCCGCCAGAACAGCCAGGCGCCCGAGGACCACCGTGTGAGTCTTGCCGCTGCCCCTCGCGCCGTGGGCGAAGATGTACACCGCCTCGCCGTGCAGCGCCGCGACCACGTCGTCCCTGACGGCGTCGAATACATCGTCCTGGCAATCGCGTGGTTGGAGGGCGGCGCGAGAAGCAAGACTGGTGAAGAGGAGTCGACTCCAGCCCTGTCCGGCCCTCTACTCCTCCTCCTCTCCTCCTCCGTCTGCTGCTCCTCCTCCTCCTCCTCGAACAGCAACCCCTCCTCCTCCTCCTCCTCCTCCTCCTCCTCCTCCTCCTCCTCCTCCTCCTTCACTTCCTCCTCCTCCTCCTCCTCTTCCTCCTACTCCTTCACTTCATCCTTCTTCGCTTACGCTGGGGGCGAATGCGGGCAGAGGACACAAAGTGACCAATGCGTGTCAAGCCCGCTGGTCGAGGTGCATAGATTCTAAGACACCTGTCGCGCATAGCTTCATGCTGCGAACAAGCCGCGCAATCCAGGGGAGCCCCTCGTGGTGGATTCTCATCGCTCCCGTGCGGACCAGGATGCCAGGCAGGGGTTCCACGGACTTCCAGTCCACGCTGGATGAATATGGGCTCGCGGCCCACGCCCCGGTGTCCTTCTCGTCTTCCCATCCTCCGTCCCCCGTGTGATATGTAGCAGGCTGGCCGCTGGTCTGTGTTCACCTACCGCCGCACGCGGTACAGGAGTGCAGCAACGTACCAAGACGAGCCCCGAATCATATGAGCACGAGTGATCGCGGTGGAGCAGGGTGAGAGCAAACGCGCGAGCGCGCGCCAGCGGCGCGGGGCGCGAGGGGAGGAGCCGGGGACACACACCCCGATCTCTGGGAGAGCGGGGCGCGTATTCCTGGCTCCTCCACCTCCTCTCCCTCTCCCCTCCCGCATCTCCCCCTCCGCCCCTCCCTCCAGCCACTCCCTGCGGCGAGTCAGCCGGCCAAACTCCTCTACGAAAGTGGGCGGAACTGTGTCACTCGGGACTTGCCCTCGACCTGGACCTCTTCGGGATACACTCCGAACCGCGTAAAGAAGAGAAAATGAGACCCGAGGGAGGGACCCCCGGGAGTCCGCAAGACGGACGCAAAGCCCATGCTGCAGAATTCTGGACAGGGCGCCAAATCAACTTCGGGGGAAAAAACTGGACATCTTCACCACCCACGCCTTGTTCGTGACATTATCGCCACACGTCATAATGTCGGAGGAAGACGGAGCAGCTCGCACTTCGTGCTCAACGCGTCCTCTGGCTGGGGGCGGTGAATAAACAGGATACACAGCAGCAGCTGCCTTCTGGTCTTATTGCCCGACGCGGCCGAGAACGCGAGGGTGTAATTTGTTATCGCATACCCGAGCATTCACAACATATTGCAAAACTCACGGGGCAACCGTTGGACGGCACCCTTCAGGGCGCCACCTCCGCCATCGGACACGGGAGACCCCACCGTCCACCGAAAACCTCAGCAGGTTCGGCACCTGCTCCGTGGGATTCTCGTTTGGAACAGATCACTGCGGTCGCACGCCTCCCGCCTCCATTCCTTCCCGCCCCCTCTCCCCTTATCTCCTGCCTCTCACCTCGTTCCCTCCTGCGTGCCAGTTTGCCTCCTGCCTGGCCATCCCCGGGGTGGTACCATCTGCGAAACTGTCGCCACTTTCGAAGGCTGCTGGGGGGTTCAGCGGAATAATGAAGTCCCACGCAGACTCAAACTAGACCTCGCCATCCCTGGGGGGCTGCGATTTACAAAACGGCCGCCACTTTCGAGGGCTGGTGGGGGGTCCAACGGGGGTGACGTCCCGCGCAGACTCAACATACACTTCGCCATCCCTGTGGGGCTGCGATCTGCGAAGCCGTCGCCACTTTCGAAGGCTGCTGGGGGGTCGAACGGAGCGACGTCCTACGCGAACTAGAACTCGACCTCGCCATCCCTGCGGGGCTGAGATCCGCGAAACTGTCGCCATGTTCGAAGGCTGCTGGGGGGTCCAGCGGAGTGACGTCCCACGATGACTCAAACTAGACCTCGCCTTCCATGTTGGGCTGCAATCAGCGAAACCGTCGCCATTTTCGAGGGTTTGTGGGAGGTCCAGCGGAATGACGTCCCACGCAGACCCAGACTGGACCTCGCCGTCCATGTGGGGCTGCGATCTGCGAAACCGTCGCCACTTTCGAATGCTGCTGGGGGGTCCAGCGGGGCGCCGTCGCGGGTCGCCCGCAGAACTGGCGGCGCGCCTTCGAGCGTTTACATCCCACACTGCAAAATATAGGAAAGAAGCAGTGAAGCTGTCGGGCGGTTAATTACGTTGTCGAATGCGGCGGCGACATGGCGTAGGCAGCGCTGCATCTTTAGCGTACTACCGACAAAAGACTCGTCTTCTGCCCCCTGCCACCTTCCCTCTGCTACTGCTGCGCTGACGGGTCGGCCCCCCGCGCGTCCTTCTCCTGCCCTTCGTTCCCGCCTCCATTTCCTCATCAAGCCTGGGCCTTCGCTCCTCGACCATCGGTTGTTGTCTTGCGAACCGTGCCACGTGAGCGCATCTCATGTAGCTTGCACAACACATAACGGCGCCTGCACTGTCATTGTCCTGGCAAGTTTGGGCCAATTCCTCTTGTCACTTGATGTAAATGGGCTGGGTACGTCGCAGGGTAAATTCGTTTTGTTATGCCGGTAAACGCTTGCGATCCAATCGTAAAAAAAGACGATACACAAGTACGATGAGAGTAGGGATGTAGTGTGAGTCAGAAGCTAGTTGTGCCATCCCGTTGCCATCGAGAGTTGAAACATTTTCAAATGACAAAACAGCTCTTGTTAGAGCGCTTTTGATATGTGCAATGAAACACCGACAACATCTGTCTTACTCTGTTGTTTGAATTATGCTTCCCTTCGTAGAGCTTCGATCTATCCAAACTTCCATTGAATAAATCAGGGCATGCCGTTGTCGATCCGTCACGATCGAGCAAAGACTGCTGTGCTTGCAAGCTAGCTTGAAACGGATTTCGTACCGGTCTGTGGGGGCCAATGTGAATCAACATCATTGCGCCCATTTCATCTGCCACGCGTTGCGTTGCGCCCATTCCGCGTGAAAAAATCAATGCACAAGTAGAGCAAGGCCACAAGTGTCCCATGCTTGCGGCCGCCGCATTTCAAAACGAATGACGCAGACAGAAATCATTCGTGAGCAATCTGGATCCGAAAACTTGAGCCCACGTGGCTTGATTGCTACACCCTGCGAAATGCTTAAGAAATCATGGGTTAAGAAATTCATAGTCTCAGAACTTGAATAAAAACCCAACAGTTCTATTAAAATCTTAAGATTTACATTGAAACGTCAAGAATAATCGAGACTCTGGCCGAAAACTTAAGTTTTCTAAAGCATCGCCTAAGGTGTATTCATGGGGGCCTCGTGGCGTTTTGTGTGGACTCTGGGAAGCCTCCTGGGGGCCTGCTTGGGCCTCTCGAGGGTCCGGGTGCGCGGAGGGGTCAAAATCTTGGTTCGTGCTCCCCCTCCTCCTCCTCCTCCTCCTCCTCCTCCTCCTCTCCCCTCCTCCTCCTCCTCCCTCCTCCTCCTTCCTCCTCCCTCCTCCTCCTCCTCCCCTCCCCCCCTCCTCCTCCTCCTCCTCCTCCTCCTCCTCCCTCCTCCTCCTCCTCCTCCTCCTCCTCCTCCTCCTCCTCCTCCTCGTGCCTGAGGTGTTCCTGCGCCGTCTTGAATGTCTCTTGGACCGTCTTGGGGGCCTCTTGGGCCGTCGAGGCGCACAATTCTGGGGGGTCCGTTAGGCCGTCTCGGAGCGATTCTCGGGGCCTCGGAGGCAGTCTTAGGTCGGGCCAAAAATGCTTCAAACTTGTATACAAAACACACACGCACGTTTTGATTCGCGGGTCAGGAGCGCACCTCTTCCGGTCGAAGCTAAGCGGGCCGCGCGAAGCTTGAATTAGCAAAGAGGGGGAGGTAGCAAAAAACACACACACACACAAAAAAAAGAAACGTCGCCTGACTATTTCTTAAACTATTTTTTTAGTTTCCTCCTGTAGAGCGGCACGCCCGACAGTCTTGGAGCGCTGGACAGCCGAAAAGGCCAAAACAATAAAAAAAAAAAAAAAAAAAAAAAAAAAAAAAAAAAAAAAAAAAAAAAAAAAAAAAAAAAAAAAAAAAAAAAAAAAAAAAAAAAACTGAAACCACATGGCCTGTGCCTCTTGGGGCCCTCCTGGGGTGCCTCTTGGGACCCTGTTGGAGCGTCTTGCCTGCGTTTGGGGCAGTCTGAACGTTCTCGTGGGGCGTCCTGGAAGTGCCTTGGGCCACCTGAAGGCTAGCAAGGGCGTCTGGGAAAAACTGTGCGGCGCCTCGGGGCCCTCTTGAGCCGTCTGGGACGGGGACGTCTCAGAAGCCTTCTGAGACGGGCCCGGGCCCCCGGTCCCACCATGTGCTGTCCTGCCCCGGGGCCCTGGGCCCCCTGGCCTCACAAGCCGGCACAAGTGGCACATCCTTGCCCAGGCTCATACAAGCAGGACTGCAGCACGCAAGCGTCGCACGAACTTCCCAAGAGGAATACGAAGTCGGATCCGAGGAAGAGGAGGAGGAAGAGGAGGAAGAGGAGGAAGGAGATTGAGAGGCAGAATAAATCGGAGAGAAGAACGATGACGAGGATCACCACGGGGCTGTTGGGAAGGATGTGCGACAGCAGGATCGCAGTCGAACGCAGGTGGGGTTGCCACACCTTGCGATGTGTGTGGCGCAGGAGGGTGTTGCACACGTTGCGATTGCAGATGAAAGAAGTTCTGAAACCAAAGTTTGAAGAATGTCTCAAGCGAAACTCTCGTTCTGAAGCATATGAAGACAACTCTGAATACATGGGGGTCCAACTGTAGGTGGCTGTCCGACGAAAACTGATGTTTGTTTTGTAAGAACGACATACACAGTCATTGGAACCAATCTGTGCTTGAACATAGTACGTTAGAATGTTCATAATCCCTTATGTCTTTAGACCGTGACGTCGCGATCTGCGTGAAGGGTGTGTCCGATGGTCAGAATGCTGAAGATGTCCCGAGCGAAACGGCCAAACAGATCGCAGACGGGACACATGAATCGCCTCCGAGCTCTACTCCCTCGGAGAGGTGCGTTTCGGTGCCTGTCGGGGCCCGTTTGGGGGCCCCTTGGGGGCTTCTCGGGGACCTCTTGGGGGCCTCATGAGAATCTCTTGGGGCCTATTGGGGGCCTCTTGGGGGCCTCTGGGAGCCTCTTCGGGGCATCGTGGGCCGAGGGCCCGAAAAGTCCGTTCGGATCCCCCGTCTGTGCCCCTTCTTGGAGCCGTCTTGAGGGCCGTTTTGGGCCGTCGTGGAGGCCCCTTGGACCGTCTTGGGCCGCCTTGGGGCTGTCTTGGGGGCCTCTTCGGCCGTCTTGGGGCGATATTGAGGGCCTCTTGTACCATCTTGGAGCGTCAGGAAAGGCGAGACCCCCAAACACCTTCAAAAACATTCGGCAAACCAACAATTGCTACATCTTTGGGACAAGATTGCTGGGAAGCCTCTTGGAGGCCTCTTAGGGCGTCTTGGAGGCCTCTTGGGTCGTCTTGAGGCTGTCTTGGCCGTCTTGGAGCGATCTTTGGCCTTCTCGGGCCATTGGGACCATCCTGGGAGCCTTCTGGGGCCGTCTTGGAGGCCTCTGGACCATCTTGAGGCCCCTCGGAGGCCCCGGGGAGGGGGTATTAAAAGTATCCACAGATGGTTGCGGAGTTGCCGACCCCAGGCCGGGGGGGGACTATATCTATATATATGTATATATATATATATATATATACTCGCCATACGTATGTATGTGTATATAGATCATATTTAGAGTACACATTCCTATACATATGTATATATACATGAGAGACAGAGAGATCCCATCACGACGCGACTGAAAACCAGATCATCCAACCTGTCCTGGCAAGGCGACGAGCCTGGGGGGGAAGTGAGGTGGGGCGAGCCTTCTCAGCAGGCTCGGAAGTTCTTGGGCCTTCTTGAGGGGGTTTCTTAGCCTTCCCCTGCAGTCAACCCGAATCATAAGGATACGCGATGAGGATGCAGGGGCCTTCGAAGGCCATGTCGACACTTAGCGAGCGGGGCGCGGCCAACGAGAGTGGCCAAGGATGGACCGAGGAGGCCAGGATGCAGGGGTACCCTGGGGAAGGGTGCCCATCCTTACCATGCGGGTTGACTGCGCCGCCCCCTGAGAAGGCCTTCTCTGAAGGAGCCCTGGGACACACAAATAAATAGACACAAATAAACGGATTCCCCATATGTTCCCATATTTTCGGGGTTTCTGTCCTCCCCCCATATTTCCTCATATTTTCCTGGGGGATCGACGATTCATTGTGTCTGCGTGTGTTTTTCCCCTCCTGATTCTCCTCCTCGCTTCCCCCCCTCGCTCGCCGCCGACCCGCGGGGGGGGAAGGGGGCGCCGGGCCTCCGTCGCGTCGGCGGCGAGCACCTCCGGCGGGCGGGGCGCGCGCGCCCCGCTCCGTGGGAGCGCCCGAGGTCGGTGCAGCAGAAACGGGGCGCGGTGCCCAGCAGCCAGTGCTTGAAGGGGCCCTGGGACACACACAGAAATACACACACGCACACCAATACACACAAATAGCAGGATCCCCCATATCTCCTCACATCTTCTGGAGTGCTCGTCTTCCCCCCCACTTCCCATATCTCCCATAGCTTCCGGGGAATCGACGATGGATTGTGTCTGTGTGTTTTTTCCCCTCCTGAGTGTTGTCCAAAGCTGACAGCGGACACTGTTGGCCGGGGGCAACGACAGGGGGGGAAAGGCATGGGGGGGGCGCCTTGACCCCAGGTCGCCCATTGGTCGCCGAGCAGGGGCCCGATGGCCCCGACCTGCCCAGGAACGCGCGGGTGCACTGTCGGGGGCCTATCGCCGATCTATCGGCGATACACCGCCGATTCCAGGTCGATGTTTCCCCCCGCATGCCCATCCTCACTATCGTTGCCCCTCAGCTGGGCAGGCGGCCTGCTGCCTCAGATGGACAACGCGCGCGGCGACACCGACAGCGAGCCCTGCTCAAGATGAACCAGACGTGCATATACGGCCTCTGTGCTCTCCCCTTTCCGTATCCCCTTCGACTGTCCTGGCGCTCGGCCCCTGGGGCCCAGAGACAGCGTCCGCGCCCGCCGGCGGGCGGCCGGCGGGCCCCTCGGGGGCAGCGCGGGCGGGCCGGCAGGCCCAGTCAGCCGGACCTCCAGGAGCATGTGTCTGCACGGCTGTCTTCTGGGAGGCCTGGAAAGGGGCACCAACACCAACAAAGGGGGCAGGGGGGGAGATGATCCCAGATTTCGGTGCTGGTGGCCATATCTCGGCCCCTTGGAAGCCAAAGCATCACCACCGTCACACCGAGACCGGGATCTTCCTCCCTCGGTGGAGGCACACCGCCGAAAGAGGTGCTGGTGTCAACCTCCATCTGGGCCTGCGATGTTCTGCTCTCCGAAGCTCCAAACTGCACGCCCTCTGCTGGCCACCGCTCGGACGTCCATTTCCTGTGTTTTTTTCGGTTTCGTGCGTGGTTTTTTCGCCAAATGGTCGAGGATGCTCCTCGAAGGTCCTCGCCGAGAAAAAAATGCACACGTCCGAGCGATGCCAGGTCTGGCAAATCCAGGAGCGGGCAGCAGGACCGGCCCGGGCGTGCACGGGCGTGTGCCCGACGCACGGCAGCAGGGCGGCGCCCCGCACGTCCGGGCACGCCGCGGGGCGCCCGCACGCGTGCGGAGAGAGCACGTCTTGCCTCTCCGCGGAGCGGCGGCGGGGGCGTGCTGGCCGCACGGAGACGAAGGTGAGCTCAGGACAGCATCGACGCGGGAGGCTCGGCTCGGGCGAAAGGGGGGGATTAGCAAAGGGGGGGGGGTGAGAATCAGCTCGCGTAAATGACTTGCCCGGCGCCTCCCGTCGCCGGCGGCGACTCTGTCTTGAGGAATGGGCCCCTCGGCGGGGCCGAAACCAGATGCATGCAGCAAATTTCGTAACCCCCCCCTTCCCAATCCCCCCCTTTCGTCCGGCCCGAGATGCATCGGGGATCCCTGTGGGCTGGCGGAACTGGAGGGGACGTATCGGGCAGCGCGGCCGCTCCAGAGCGCTCCAGGGCGGTCGGAGAGCGTCCTGGAGCGCCCTCAGAAAGATGCATCCAGATCCAAAGGCCTGCCTGACCCAGTCAAGGGGAGGAGGAAAAGGGGGAGGAGGAGAGGAGAAGGAAGGGGAAGAGGAGGACTAGTGCAAACCCAAGGCACATCGACGATGTTGGAATAAACTCTCCCTCCAAACTCCCTGTTCATAGGCCCCTACAAAAATTTCTGTTGTACTGAAGGAAATTCCCACGTTGGGAAACAACAGTCTGAAGACACTGAGGCGCTCCAAAAAACCATTCGAGTGACTCAAACGCCACGAATCACTTGAGTGTTGCGTCCTGACGATCCTGAATCATGCCAGAACACCATTCCTGGGATTTCAACACCGCGAATCAACGTAACTGTTGCGCCACGGCAACCATGAATCGTTCCAAGTTCCAAAACACAAATTCTAATACGCTGACCATGGGAATCCGTGGAACTCTTGTCAATGAATAAAACGAATGTGCGCGGCGATGAAGCGACAATCGTTTTTTGAAAACGAGCCGCCGTCAATCCGTGAAACCCCGTGCAATTTTTCTCAAACGAATGCGCGCGGCAACAAATCGACAACAACATTTTGAAAACGACCCGCCCTCCATCCGTGAAGCTCCTGCGATTGCTTAAGACGAATGTGTGCGGCGCTAAAGCGAGAACCACATGTTGAAAACCACCCGCCCTCCATCCTTGAAACAATTTTAATCTTGCAACGTTGAAAACGAATGTGCGCGGCGCTAAGGCGAGGGAGAGAGAGAGAGAGAGAGAGAGACAAAGAGAAAAAGAGCAAAACAAAACAAAAAAAAAAAGCCCGAAAACGCCCCGGGGGGGACGGGAGCCCCGCAGGGGCGCCGGGGCGCCAAAGGCTCGCGCGTCGCAGCTGGTTGCTGGGATGGACAAAACGACGGACGTATTTTCGGACATCTTCTTCATGATGCGAGACCCACATTTTGAAAACGACCCGCCTTCAATCAGCGCGTCCCTTGCAAATTTGAGAACGAATCTGCGCGGCGCGAACGTGCGACAGAGACATAGAAAGAGAGAGAGAGAGAGAGAGAGCGTCGGAAAACGTCCCGGGGGGACGGCCTTTTGAGCCAGGCGGGGGGACGGCCTTTTGAGCCAGGTGCTGAAGTGGACCAAACGACGCACGTCTTCCAGGACATCTCCTTCATGAGCCTTCCACCATGGTAGGTTCCGATCCACTTTCCACCATTTGGGATCGCTCCCGGTGGCTGCTATGTCGTGTGGATGAACAACAACACCATCATCACAAAACTTTTTCTGCCCGCCACCTTTGCGAAAAGGCTGGGCGTAAGTCGTGTGAAGGCGGATCCCGACTCGCATTCAGTCGTGTCCACCTGTCGCGATCGTGGCTGGCGACGCGCACTGCGAACACCCACTTGCGCTTGAAGCATACGTCCGTCCAATCGTCGACTCGTGCTCATTTGGCAAACGCCAGAGCAGTGGAAATACTCCTCTGCGCGGTATGAACCCAAGATTCAAATCCGTCGTCGTCGACAGCGCCGTTTGCTGTTGTTAATGCTGGTGTCGGTGCTGGTTCTGGTGCTGTTGCGGTGCTGGTGCTGTTGTCGGTGCCAGTGCTGTTGGCTGTGCTGGTGCTCATCTGTCGGTGGTGGTTCTGGTGTTGTGGTGGGTGCTGGTGCTGTTGCTAGTGCTGATGTCGGTGCTGGTGCTGGTGCTGGTGCTGGTGCTGTTGTCGTCGTCGTCCGGTGCCGTTGTCGGCGCTGGTGTCGGTGCTGGAGTCGGTGCCGTTGTTGTCGTCGCTTGTGCAATTGTTGTTGTTGATGCGGGCGGGCGTGTGTTGTCTGTCTTTTCTGTTCTAGCGTACTCCGTCAACTCGGCGTACTTATGATCAGTCGGAGCATTTTCCGTTGCGTTCGCTGCAACATGATGAGCATATCGTTGGTGAGTGTCCACGAAAAACAACTGTACATGACGCATGGCGTGATCGTGCCACTGAAAGGCGGAGCCTGCAGTGCAGGGGAAAACTTATGTTGGTTAGTTCGCCCCGTCGTTGGTGAAACTTCGACCATATCGCGGCGATCCCGTTTTGTTTCAGCTCGTGGTCTTAGAAACCGTGGGATGAGAAGCGCCTGCCCAAGTATTTCGTAGTCTGATCTTGTTGGTAAGAATTTTTGTCTTGTCAGGGCGCGATGAGAGTCCACAACATGATGCTTTGCCCTTCAAGTCGCGCAACAAGCATGTAAGTTGGCGACGGCCCAGGGCGTGCAGCAGAACGTCGCATGCAAAGTGTAGGTTCGTGATGCTTGTTTCTTGAGGTAAAACCGAGCTTGATGCCGAACTTTTTTCGTCGCCAACTGGGCTTAATGCGTTGGAAGATGTGTTCCAACAGCGCATTGAACATAAAGGAGCTGAGCGGATCTCCCTGCTTCACACCCCGCTGAATGCTAAAACTTCGACTGGTGGCATCAGTGCGGACAGTGGCCTTCGGCTCGTTGTACATGTCCTTCAGGAGGGTGATGTACGCTCCGGGAGTGTTGCTGTCGTAGAGCATCCCACAGGTGTTTGTGGTCCACGCAGTCGAACGCCTTTTTGAAGTCCGCTGCTGCCGCCCAGAAGGGAAACTGCCAACAATGCGAGTGCTCATGCAACATTGCCGTCGTGAAGGTGGCCTTCGGTGCTGAACCCTCGCTGGAAACCGGCCTGGTCAGAGCTCTGTTGTGCGTCAAGTGTGGCTTCCAATCGGTTGCAGAGGAGGCATGACATGAATGTGTACATTAGTGGGATATGTCGCTCGGTCAGAAATTTTGTGGTAGCTTGGGGTCGCCAGATGTGCATCTCACCGTGATCGTCGTGTTGTTCTGTTTCCATTGTGGGGGTGATGGTTAGCTTAGCTTGCTTATGTCGTTATAAAGCTGAAGCAGGTGTGATTCAATTGCGGTCCCCCCGGCTTTGAAAAGTTGTTGATGGCTTTTCTAATTGTTTGATGGCTCGTCGAAGCTCGTTAGCTGTGAATGGTGGTATGCTCGAGTCTGCTGTCGTGGCGGCGTTGCTGGAACCGTCGGCATCGTCCTGCGGTGCTTTATAGAGTTGCTCGTAAAAGGTGGCGAAGGCGTCTGCGATGCTCTGTCTGTTAGTTTCTTCGTCGCCAGTTGGGGTCGTCATTGACGCGATTATGTCCTTGTCTTCAAAATGCTGAATTGCGAATAGGACGTTCGGCGAGACGATTCGCCGACCACAGAGGCACTCCGCCGCCCGAAACCGCAAAACCAGCCAACACAAGCCAAACGGCGACGAAACAGCGGGAGTCAGAAACAATCGCGCCTACGCGCTTACCGCGGCCGAGGA